AGAGCACCATCAAGGCCCCCCGAAACAGGCCCATTCACTCAGACTCGGGTGAATCTCATTGGGCAGAGGCCGGTGGTGCTCGCAGGAGAAGAAGGAGRCGCAGGAGGGGAGAGCAGAGATCTCTYCCAACAGCCGACAAACCAAGCATGTGTGATGACCCTCGTAGGAAGGCCATGAGTGGTACCTGCTTAAAGTGGTATTTGCGGTACCTCCGGGACGGGATGACCCACGAAGCCGCGGAATCCCTGGCCAAAAGGAGATATGTAGATAYCGGGTCATCCCCCACAAAGGAGTGTAGCAGGAATACGTCCGTTTGTGCGCAAGGCAGCTGGTCTATGGACCGTGGCCAGGTCAGTGCATCACTGACCGAAATGCGGGGTGACGGGGATGCACTCACCTATGCACAGGCAGCAAAGAGGAAGAGTGGTCAGCTCACTCCACAGGAGCCCCCCAGGGACGGCGGCACGAGGGCGACCGGAGGCCAACCATCAATCCAGGCTCCGCCACGGGTGGAGGAGGGGCGGCGCAGGTATGCGGATGCTGTCAAAGGTATCCGTATGGCTGTACTGCCTCAAAACTATCCGGCGGAGTCGCTGGAATCGGAGCAGCTCACGGTGCTCCAAAACCTCCTCCTGGAGGAAGTATTTAGAGGTGCGGATTACGCGGCGTSCTTCCTTGGAGTAGACATCAGAGGTGGCATGCTGCAGGTGGACTGCATGGATGAGTTGTCCGCCAACTGGCTGCGGGCATTTGCCCCAAAGCTAGGAAGCTGGACCGGCCCTGTCCTCTGCGCAAAAAGGGCGGAGGATCTGCCGGTCATGCACAGGAGGACAATGTTCCTCCCCGCAGCGATGACAAGCCGTATGAGTTTGCCCTGGGACTAATTAAGAATCAGAACCGGGGCCTTAGCATCGCGGCCTGGCGCGTAGTTAGCAGCCAGGTAGAGTAAAAAGGGTGACCTACGTGGATGGAGATTGTACCTATACATTGATGACGAATCGTACAGGTACGTCCGTGCTGCAAGCTTCCGCCTGTTTTACAGGTTTAGCATGGTGGTCATGARGCCGCACAAGCCTGTGACCACAGGGAGCAAGGAAGCGGGGAAGGCTGCCACTCAGCCGAGCGGCTGCGGGCCCAAGCAGGACACAATGGTGGCAAGCAAGGTGGTGAAGAGGATGCAGGTGGACGACGTGGCAAAACAACCGGGCGTGAGCGCAGAGCTGATTACGCTAGTCGCAACAGCTGATGTCCCGGCTGCCCAGGAAGCCGGGCTACCCTCCACCCAGGAACTCCTCGAGGGACTAGGCGACCAGGAGGACAGCAGTGCGACGACGGAGGGGATGTGGACATGCCCCCCTTCGAGCCAATACTATAATGGCCGTCGACGTGGAAGCTGCCCAAGTGAACCTGCATCACGCGGCGGGGGCCTCGACAGTCATAGCGAGCAGGTTCACACTGGATAAGTTCCTGCTGATCCAAGAACCTTGGGTCTACAAAGGTGAGGTCAAAGGCCTCAAGACGGTACACAGCAAGGTAATCTGGGACCTCTCTAGTGACCGTCCAAGAGCATTCTTAGTAGCCAGGAATAATGTCGACTTTTTCTGTATTTCAGAGTTCCTGACGCTGGACTTGGTGGCGGTACAGGCCAGAGACTGGGAAGGCAGAGACTTCGTCCTGGCATCAGCCTACTTCCCAGGGGAGGCAGCTGTAGCACCCCCTGAAGTGGTGGTAAGGCTAGTGGAGTACTGCAAGAAGCACAGGCTACCCCTCGTTATCGGATGCGACGCGAACGCCCACCATGTTGAGTGGGGAAGCACGGACTGCAACACAAGGAGTGAGTCTCGATTAGAATATGTACTAGGTAGTAACTTAGCTATTGAAAACGTGGGTTGCGAACCCACCTTTATAACTATAAGCAGGAGGGAGGTGCTGGACATCACCTTCCGCAAGGAGCCCGCACATGGTTGGGTCTCAAGGCGGAGGGTTTCAGCGGAGCCCTCCCTGTCGGACCACAGAATTGTAAGGTTCGCACTGAAGGTTGAGGTCAGTCAACTTCCCCCAAGACGCAACCCTCGAAGGACAAACTGGAGTACCTTCAGGGCAATGCTGCAGGATGAACTAAACTGGGAGAAGCTGACCGATGATAGCGTTACGGGCTCGGGAATAGAAAGCAGAGTGCTGGCACTGAACGGGTCTAACACTAATGCTTACAGCGGTAGCTGCCCCTAGTAGTGTCCACAGATAGGCGCAACGGTCCCTGGTGGACAAAGAAGCTGGCAGACCTCAGGAAAAGAGTACGTAGCCTATTAAACAAGGCAAAACGTACAGGGGTCTGGGAAGAATACAGGAGCTACCTAACCCTCTACAATAAGGAGATTAGGTCAGCAAAACAAACGTACTTTATTAGTTTCTGTGAAAAGGTCTCCTCCACACCAGAAGCGGGGCGGCTGCACAAGGCTCTGGCTAGTGGGAAGACTAACACGGAGCTAGCCATCAAAAGAAGTGACGGGACTTTTACGACCAGCGCGGAGGACAGGGCTACAGAGCTTCTGCGTGCTCACTTCCCGGAGACCATCCAGGTGGACCAATGTCTACCTGTGAGAGAACATAGGCCATCCCACTTGGATTAGGCAGCCGCTAGGCCGATAGTCACTGCGGACTCGATCAAGTGGGCAATGGCCTCGTTCGAAAAATTCAAGTCTCCAGGGGTGGGCGGAATCTTCCCAGCGCTTTCGCAGCAAGGTGAACAGCCTCTGCTACCTCACCTTGTTCGGCTGCTGAGGGACAGCCTTGCAATGGCGTACATCCCTGACCCATGGAGAATGGCTGAGGTGATCTTCATACCCAAAGTAGGAAGGAAGGACTATTCCTTGGCCAAGTCCTACAGGCCGATTAGTCTAACGTCCTACCTACTAAAGACTATGGAAAAGATCATAGACCACAATATAAGGTCGATGGCGCTGAAGAGTGCACCCCTGCATGCTGCTCAGCATGCATACAGAGCGGAAAGATCCACCAGTACGGCTCTGTACCAGCTGACCTCGGAGATAGAGAGTTCACTCTAGACAGGCGACGTGATGTTATGTGCCTCTTAGACATCGAAGGTGTCTTCGACAATACATCTCATAAGAGTGTAGCCAGGGCGATGGAAAGAAGAAATGTGGCAGCACCGGTGCGCAGACGGATAGAGGCCGTGCTGCTCACCAGGATTGCCGAGACCAGGGCAGGCGCAACAAAGATCCGCCTGGGAGCGACAAGAGGCTGTCCACATGGAGGTGTGCTATCACCTCTACTATGGCGTCTTGTCGTGGATGAACTATTAGCATTGCTAACTGACAATGGGATCCGCTGCCAAGGGTATGCGGACGACATTGTGATAATAGCAAGAGGCAAATTTGAAGAYACTCTCTGTGACCTAGTGCAACGGGGTCTAAATCTGGCAAAGGGGTGGTGCAGAGGAGTRGAACTAAACATCAACCCCTCAAAGACAACCGTAGTTCCTTTCACAAAGCGCAGGTCCCTACCCGGCTTAAGGAACCTCACACTTGGGGGAGAGAGATCGATATGACTAGCAAGGTCAAATACCTGGGTCTTACGCTGGATTCCACCCTGCGGTGGAAGCAGCATGTGAACCAAACGCTGGTCAAAGCTACAAAAGCGTTAATGGTGTGCAAACGGCTGGCGGGTAAATCCTGGGGCTGCAAGCCAAAGATCGTTAGGTGGTTGTATACCATGATTGTGCGACCGATAATTACWTACGGGGCGGTGTCCTGGGCCTCTGTAACGTCGCAGGCTTCGGTGGTTAACCRACTATCGAAGCTTCAGCGGCTAGCATGYGTTTGCATGACGGGCGCTATGCGAACCTGTCCGACGGCAGTTCTGGAGGTATTGCTGGAACTTACACCGCTCCATATAATGATAGGTCAAGTAGCCAAGCACTCACTTCTGCAGATAACAGCAGAGGGATGCGGCAAAGGCAAGATAATCTCGTCCCAGATGATGGAGAGGATAAGTGACGACATTCCTATTGCCCTCCTCCCAAGGGACGGGATTACGAAATCAACTCACTTCACGAAAAGGTTTAAGGTTATCCTCGGGAGCAAGAGTGAGTGGAACGACCCCACTCTTCAGCAAATGCTAAGGGATAGTACTCAGGCTCAAAAACGTCGGAAGGAATAGGTGCGGGTATTGTAGGCCCGCGTACAAAGCTCTCCATTCCGATGGGAAGCTTTCCAAGTATTTTTCAGGCTGAAGTCCTGGCTATAAGTCGGTGTACAGAGATTAACCTCCACCGCAACTATCGCAACGAGCGCATAGCTATACTCAGCGATAGTCAAGCGGCACTGAAAGCGATCTCCTCCTACGAGATCAAATCGCTTTTGGTGCAGGAGTGCAGAGAACGATTGAACAACCTAGCTGCAAAGAACCAGGTGCACCTAATCTGGATGCCCGGCCACATTGGCATAGCCGGCAACGAACTGGTCGACGAGCTAGCCCGCTCCGCAGCCTCCACCAGTATGGTTGGGCCCGAACCATTCATTGCGGWGGGTCCCCACACTGTGAAGGAGCTGCTCCGCAAGGAAGAAAGAGTGTGCAGGGAAAGGTATTGGCAGCGAGCGCACGGTATGCGTCATGCCAAGCTGGTAGTTGGGGGGTATAACCAAAAAAGATTTAAATCGTTAATCAACCTCCCAAGAAACAAACTCAGTATCCTGGTTGCATTCTATACCGGCCACTGCAAGCTGAAAAGGCACTTGACTAACATGGGCCTATCATCTTGCGCCAACTGTCGGTTTTGCGACAGGGACCTTGAAACCCCGGAGTACCTGGTAATCGACTGCATTGCAGTCTGTAGGCGCAGGTCGAATGCCCTTGGAGCCATGTTTCCGGATAGGGATCACATCGCCTCGCTAGCACCCAGCAAAATACTGGACTTCRTCAATATGCTGGGGCTAAGCGAGTCCCTGTGAGTTAGGAGAGGGCACAATAGACCTATGGTCGCAGTGCATTCCTCAGTTATGTATCTATCAATCTAGATTRCACAACTAGATTAGCGGTGTTATTCCTAATTTTATCGATAATTTTTGCGAAAAAGAGGAGAAAAGTCAAATGACAAATTAAACAAAAATGGCCGACAACGAGGGAAAGAGGTTAGTAAACTTTTTTTTAATAAAATTATATTTTAAAATATATGTAAACAAGGTGGAACAAAGAGGAAGTTGAACTTCTTTTATGCTTGTGGGAGAAAAAATTGGAAAAGCTTCGTGGTGTAAAACGTAATCCTCACGTTTTCCAGGATATGTCATGGCCACAAAGGGGCATGTATATGCTGCGAATGAAATTCGTGTGAAAATACATAATTTGACAAATAAATACAGGTAAGTTTATTTAATATGCATGTGCATTTATTCATATAAAAGTTTTCAAAAAATTACAAAAACTTTTACAGAGATAAGAGGAAATCTATTGGTCCCTCTGGCTGCAGACCTTCGACATGGGAATTCTACCCTAAAAAAAAGTATCCTCGGGAGCTAAATAAGAGAGCACAGGTTAGTAAAACAAAACAGAAATTTGAAAAGTTTATATTTATTTTTATAAACTAATTTATCAAAGTTCACGAAGTTGTAGACTGTGCATCACCCCTTAACAGCTCTTCCATTACGCAAGGAAAAGAAAAAAACATGCTTCAGATAATATTCAAAATGAATATTTGGAGAGACTCCGGGCTTCAAATAGAAAAATTAAATCGGAAATTGAAGCAATTAAAGAGGATGGCAGGGAGGCCCTTCAAATTGAAAGAGAAAGAAATGCCATCCTCGAAAAATTCTTAGAAGCATTTAAGCAAACCATATAACAACATATCCTTGAAAACGTGAGAATTACGTTTTACACCACGAAGCATATATCCAGTCCAGGAGAAGATTTTTTCATTATATATATATACATATATATATGTATATGAATTTTTTTTAAGCTATTGCATAGCTTCTATCGCGGGCCTTGAGCGCCGGGACCGAATCCAGAAATTCCGTAACAAAAAAACCTCACGCGCCCCACTCCGATATGACACATGCATATGTACATATATTATTTCTTTCGCAAATTTGTCTGCGAGCTTGCATACATATTGACGCAGATTTTTGCGAGTCACGGAAAAATATTTTAGAATGGACAAATATTATAAATCGAAAGCTCCGTTGTTGCCACTTTTCTGACTTCTTTCTGTGAAGAAGCATCAGAAAGTCGTTGAATTTATGATTTTTAGCTTTTGCCATCGTCGCGAAAAGACGCTTGTAGGCAAAGGCATGCTCGGGGAGATGTTACGGGGTCTGTTTTTATGAATGAAGTGAGGTCGCTTGTAGAATTTGCGCCTGCRTTTATGAATGATATCGTTTTTGTTGTAAAATTTACTACATTTGGACTTCGCCAATTCGGCTGCCAAATTGACTTTTGATGCTTCTGCTATTTGAGCAATTGTTGCTTTTGAAGAACATTTTTTTTTTTTGTGTTAAATACTTTTTATTTGCAATCTATTTTAGTAAATAATAAGCAAATTTGATAACAAAACCATAATTTGACTTATATTTTTGATCTCCCATGAGATCATTAATTTTAACAAAAGGTATATTCAGGTCTGAATGAATGGCTTTATTTGTTATGAACCAAGGCGCGTTTGTAATTAATCTTAGAGTTTTCGATTGGTATCTTTGTAGAATTTCAATATTTGAATTACAAGCAGTGCCCCAAAGTTGCACACCGTATGTCCATATAGGTTTTAGTATAGATTTATATGTATAATAGTAATTTATTTTCAAGATGTAACTGCGATGTTTGTCCAAGGAGCCAATAAAGTTGTTTGGTCTTTATTTTTAATTCCTATTTTAAAAATTTCTTAAAATTTAGAACTAAACTTTTACATTTTTATTTTTATAAAATTTATTTA